ATTTTGTAAGGTATTCTTGTAAAAAAAAAATTCCCGGTAAGTTTATTAGGCAATCGGAAATTACTTTCCTACAGGCCTGTAGTTTGAGTCTCGTCAATTTAAGAACACGGATAATTATTTCATTAAAAGAGTAATTTACAGCATGTAGAATAGAAATAAAGTAGTGGACAACGTAGATGAAGAAATCTATAGTTGTATTGAAAACCTTCACTTCTTTATATACTGTCATCAACAAAAAATGCACAGTAATACAATTACACACTTAATTCTTTTAATAGATTGCCTTAGCATGCACTTTACATCAAAAGCTGTTGTTCTTGAGGAAAACGAAATAATGTATAATTTTATAGATTCTTCTTTAGTTACATGTAGAGCAATGGCCTTGGGGGGGGGGATGCATGGTTTTGTTAAATATACATGTGCATTTAGGACCTTTGTAGTTACACGCAGACGTTTACCACACAGGGATCTGCGAACAAATTTAAATTCAAAAGAAGTAAAAAAAAACAAAAAAAAAAAATATTTTAAACATTATTTTACAGATGTTTTTGTAGTTGGATTACAAATTTAACACAAAATATCAACACTATTCAAATACCGTATTAATGTCATTGATCTATAAAGTTATTATGATTTAATATAATTATACACGATTTATATTTATTCTATACCTATAGAAAATTATTTAATTTTCAAACAGGATAGTTTTATTTCAAATCAGTAATAAACATTGAAATCGAAATTCTAAATAGTTTGTTCTTTCATTGAACTTCTTAAAATAAATGTAGGTTATTTTATGACTAAATTATGTTCTCTTGTATAACTTACGATTACTATACAATAATTTTTAATGATTATAAAAAACACAAATCATCATCTTAATTTTAGACAAGTCTGCAGAGACTGTGTGTGTACACAATTGACACCAGCCCATTGTTTCCTGTAGGCAGAAAACCCTCTCAAATCACACAGAATATACAAAAAATACACAGTGACAGGTGTCTCCTGTCCCCAGGTGTCTTCGCGGCACGTGTCTCCACCTGATGTGGCACGTGAGGACAGTTGCCCGTAGTTACACAGGCCGTACCAACGTTTTCAAATATGCTTTTATGGGGAGGGGGGATGACAAGCAAAAAAAAAAAAATAAATTAATTAATAAATTAATAAATAAATTAATAAATAAATAAATAAGAAAACTAACAAAAAATTATCTTAAACAATATTTACTATAGCAAATTACTAGCAATATAAATCAAACCCCCACCTCACTCGATGAATGATTTTTTTCTGACCAGTTTTATATTTATTTCTATGTAGCTATACTAAGTCCTACTCTTCTATATTTTTTCTTTTAATCAGTAATCGCAACTTCTCTCTTAAGGATTGATTTCTATATAACTGCACTTACTCTTCTTTATTCCAATTCACGCATTCTACACGAGTTCACCACGACTAATGAGATAAATCCAATTTAAAATTAATTTGCGTTCACGGTCATGAAATACATAGAAATACACTTAAGTTATTTTAACTGTTTAAAGAGACTGATTTAATTCTTTTGATGCAGTATGTGTACTCGTTTGGAAAAAAATCTATAATCGGGAAAAAATGTGGTATCTTCAGAAAATATTTAACTTTTTGCAAAATAAAAAGTACATGTAGTTGGAAATTAGTATGAGATATAATTTCAAAGTTTCCCTACCTGGGAAACATGGGAGAAACTATAGACTGATGGCTTCCATGTCGGGAAACTTTATGGAAACCACTGAGGCATGTTTCCATGGTTTCCTATCTTGGGAAACTTACAGAAAACCACAGGTTGATTGTTTCCATGTCGGGAATCTACATGGAAACCACTGAGGCATGTTTCCACGGTTTCCTATTTTGGGAAACTTACGGGAAACCACAGGTTGATTGTTTCCATGTCGGGAGTCTATTTGGAAACCACTATGTGGTTTCCATAAAATGGGAACTATATGGAAACTACTGATGTCACGATTCCCATATGTTTCCATCGGGTTTCCAAATTTGGGAAACCTGGCTTTTCATCCTGTAAAATAATAAAAGCTGCCCGCCCATGCTTAAAACAACAACAGGTACCACACGAGCGCTTTATAAACACACAAGCAAGCCCCAGATCACCTTGATCGTCCCCTAGTACTAGCGCTATCAAAAAACTTTGATTAATTTATCAATAATTAGTAATTGGGTACTATCAACATAATTAAATTGTTATATGTAATAATTTAATAAAATATCCATGCCACGATATCATTTGAGTAAACTTAAACTAAATAGTAAACACTAAAAAGACTATGTGTGCAACGTCATGTTTAGTCACTTCAATGTCTGACGTATTTAAAAAAATGAACATCGAGAAGTTATGAATATCGACAACAATGCATGAAAATCTTCAAAGTGGTCAACATTGCCGAAAGAACGAATGTTGAATCTTATTTACCTTAGTAAGGCCATGGTATGACTTCTTCAGGCGAGCATATAACATAGCGCGGAAACAAACATTTTTGAAACTAAAAATATGTAAAATTATTAATAAGAATACAAAAAATTACTTATAGCTTGTAAATAAGCTACTTTGACATGACCCCGCTTTCGGTGTCTTTGTGGGTGAGATGTCATTTTTTTATGACATATTGTCAAGGTTGTTGGTATCCAATGAAAGGCCTTGTCACAAAGAATACATAATTATGCGAAATATGCAAGTCTTAGTATCTACCAGTCAAGCGTTATGAACAAAGTAAAAATTCAAAATTTTTGTGAAAATGTCGGTCAAACTCCAAATTCAAGGCCAAAAGGACAAATTTGTTGGTATGCAAAGAAAGGTCTTGTCACAAGGAATACATACCTGATGTATGAAAGTCATAGCTCCACATAATCAAAAATTATAAGCAAGGTTAAAGTTTTTGTGACAGACGGACAGAATGACAGACTGACGGACTGGCGGACAGACGAATGAGATTTAATGTCCCCTCGCTTTCGTGAAAGTGGAGGACAAGAAAGCCAAAGGAATTGTGATGCCACAGCCGTAGGCACTACAAATATCTTTCATTTCCCAGTAGCTCTGAAAGCCTAGTGTGGAAATATAATGAACAAAAAATGAAACGCATAATGCTTAACTCACCATTGGAATAAAAAAAATATGGAACAGCTACCTTTTTTATCCTTACATACCCGTTATCTCTTTAATTGACAGCAGGAACTTTAAAAACTCAAGTGTAGAATTATATACCTTGATTAATCATGTTTACGAAAATAGTGTTTTACATGATTTCTCTAAAAATTGGGGTTTCTTTTCATTGATATTTTGGATTTACAGAAACATGACCACTCCAATTAAACCTATATTGTTGGTTAAAAAGCTATTTAGAGAAAAGAACGCAAAGGGTGATATACAAAACTATGGTATCCCCAACGGAATCCCTTTATGCCGGTGTTCCACAAGGCTCTGTATTAGGTCCTTTGTTATTTTTAGTTCATGTGAATGATGTACCTGATAAGATGTCAAGCTTTTGTAGACTTTTTGCTAACGATTACAGTTTGCAGCATGCATCTATATGTGTCAAATATACAGAAAGTCATCTGAATGATGATCTTTTATCTCTTGAAGAGTGGCCTAAAATATGGTTGCTAAAATTTAGTCCCTCTAAAACTAAGGTTGTAATATTTAACACAAGAAAAAACAAAGAACTTCCAAAACTCCTTTTCAAAGATATACAATTAGAATATTTCAAACTCATTAACATCTTGGGGTAATTTTTTCAAACAATTTGCGTTGGTCATCTCACATTGAAATCTTGCTGTCTAATGCATACAAAAAATTAGGTCTATTAATAAAAACTTAAGTTCAAAAGAAATCGCTTCGGTTGTATAGGGCGGTTTTCTATTCATCGATTCTGAAAAATTAGAGAAAATTGCAACTATACATAGTTCGTTTTGTTACTGAACTAACTATGATTGCTTCTAGAGACTCCTTGTATTTTGAAACAGGCTGGGGACCAAAGAGCGACAGACGTAAGATCCAAAGATTAAATATCATGTATAAAATTCACAATGATTTAGTACCAGATTACCTGATACTATTATACCTGATATGCGATGTAACGCTTCTGCAAATACAACAAGAAACTCACAAAATTATAGTATACCTGTGTGTAAATTTCAAACTTACAAATCATCATTTTACCCATTGTAATAAACGAGTGGAATTCCTTATCGCTAAATACAAGACTTTCGAGCTCTTTGTCTGCTTTCAAAAGTAAAATTAATAATCAAATCAAGGTCAAAAAATTCCTTTACTATCCTTTTTTTTGAATAGTAAAACATAATAAGATGATATCTACCCTTAAAAGATTGCTTTAACATAAGAACGTGGCATTACCTTGACTCAAGGTCATTTCTCCCTGTCCTCAGCTCTGACGGAAGACCTACTCGTTGCTTTGCAACTCTTTAATGCTTTGCAACTCGTGAATGCTTCACAACAAGTTCGGCTCTAGTTTATGTTTACGATTCACCGGTTGTTTTTAATTGTTAAACTCAGCACACACCATTGGAAACAGCCTAACAAAACTGTATGTGAGTTTTGCTTTCCAACATTTCTTCAATGAGTTTTCTGGATTAAAGTTTTAATATTTTTCATTAATACACACTGGTATATCAGTAAAGCTAGTCCAGAAATTCAAAGTTTCAAAAACTTCGAGATACAATAGGATTTTTTATTATAATTCAGTACAAAATGCTAAAGGGACATATATATGTCATTAAATAATACAGAAATTTGAAAAGAAAACATTAATTGCAAATGTATGTGCAGCAAGCATCTATAAAATGATATTGCATGGAATTTCAATTTGTGTCAAGCAAGCACCTATAAAATGAAATTGCAAAGAATTCAAAAACAAGAATCAATCAATATTGCCATTCTTTTATTCAATTTATTCATCATTGTTGAACAGAGTCAAATTTAAAAATAAAACTTTTGCTTTGTTTAAAAATAATATAAGTTGCGTTGCTTAATTCGTGGTCTCCTGTCATGTTCACTCCTTAATTGATTCATAATCCCTTGTCTGCAATAAAAAAAGAAAAGAAAATATTATAACATGTCAACAATACTATACAGTTATCAATGTATTGACGATAATCTATCACAGTGAAAAATATCAATACGATATTCTGTCACAGAATGATTGAATATCGAAAACTCTATAAATTCTCGAATGTGGTTAAAATAATTCCTGGCTTTCTCAGAAAAATCTCTAGAGAGGATAAATATGCTTTTTTACAAACTTTTCTTCCAATATATTGCTGAAAGAATGACTGCACTTAAGCTATGAGATTTGGATCCCGATATTATGCGCAAAATAAAATTCCAAGAGTCATTAAATTGATGTTTTAAAAGAAATAAAGAATGTCTAAAGAGCAGGTCTTGGTATATTATATTACATGATATTATTAAATAATCCCGAGCAACAGTAGCTTTTGAGACGGGGGTCTAACAGTTTGTCACATTTCTATTGTCATTCATATGCATACTAGTTTTCAACGACATTGTTTACAATTGCAACTTGGCCATTGGTGTCATTTGCAGAGAATATGTATTTTAATTTAAACTTATACATATCCAAGGGTCAATGATGGCCAAGTTGTGGCTCATATCTAATTCAAAAAAATCCCCAAACAAGGGTCGAGATAACTGCTAAATTAATTGGTTACCGAGCATCAATAATTGATATTATTATCAACTTACACGTGTGACATTCTCCTGTTCGATACGCTAACGCTTACATTGAACATTTCATTGTGTTTAAGTTTTCCATCGTACTTCCAACTTCAAACTATGGGAAACTTTTGCGCAAATTTTAATACTGTTTGAAGATAATATATCTCTTGTTTAACTTTATGCTTTTCATTAGGGGTGTTTTGAAAAAAAATCTGGTATTTACAGTATAAATAGTAAGAACATGTATAGGCTTATATTGCTTCTGTATTATGGTCTGCAGGGCGAGACACCTACCCTAAACATTAGAATCATTTATTTATTGTGCACCATAAAATCAACATGATCTCTCTCTTCTTCATTTAAGATCGTAGTGCAAAAAAAATATGTGCTAATGTTTACATGTACATTTCAACACCATGCGATTTAAATGTCTCCGCCTATTTGCGGATGCCCTTAATTAGAAAGTGGTCCCGTTCAACTTTCCGAAATTTAAGGCTTTTACATGTCTTTTCAATTACACTGTCTGTAAGAAAATTCTAGAAATAAATATTAAAAGCATATGCTTGCACAGTAATCATAGATTAATTAAGCGATATATTGTAATGTTAAGCTTAAAATGGATAGCCAAGAAGGTTCCAAATGACTTACTTAAGTGACTCATTCTTTATGTTTAGAATTTTTGTTCAATCTCATAACTGCAAGGATATGAATATCTGAGCCCCTTAAATATGAAATTTCAGCTTACATGTATGATAATGTGTAATGATTTATTTTAAAGACGGGGCAAATGGAAAAATTAACTAAAATTTAAAAATAAGAAAAGTTAAATACCTTGATATTTTATTTCCGGATCTGTATTTTTTAAATATCATTAATGACAAAAATATTGCCTTATTTGTGGAATAAAATTAAATGAAAGACAAAATCCCACTCCACTTGTGGCATAAAATTCACTTTCAAATAAATAACATTGAATAACGTCAGTATTAACATACAAATACTTTTCAAATACTTTTCGGGATCAGAGGTCACATATGAAAATCTACAAAGTGTTTCTCGTTGTCAATTTCATTTTTGTAAGAATTTGTCGAAGTAATGATCAAGTGTTTCAATTCAGAAATTCTGCTCATTTGATAAGTTTTTTGTTTAAAACGTTAAGTAATGAACGAATGTAAATGCATTTAAAACTAACAAACTATTGTGATACAGTGTTTTCATTTCCAGAAAAAAATATAATGATAAAATCCTGAACCACATTAGAGTCTGGGCCATTTACCTTTAGCAATTTCACTTGCCGTGTAAGTTTATCATTTTCTTGTGAGAATATCTCCTTTTCTTTCTGCAAAAAGTTCACAAAATTATTTTACATCAAATTGTAAAATTAAAATAGATTTTGCTGCCTTAGACAATATTAAATGCTGGTATTTGAATAAACTATAGCTTGCTATTATTACTTTTCTTTAACAAGTAGAAATACTTTTTACACATAAAACTGTAGCTTGATTCTGTCAGGGCCAGTTGTTTCATCATCTTGTAGATTTCGTTAGAAAATTCTTGTTTTCATTTAATCAAGACTAGAATTTCACTACACACAACATTGCTTCACATAATTGTTTTGGTTGTATATTCTATAACAATTAACACCCTACCATTGACACTTTACGTAAGTACAATATGATGCTAGAATTATCAGAAACTCAATCTTAATTTTCATGAAATGAAAATTTAATTTATCAATATCTCAGTTGAAAAATTCCTTTGAGCGGAAGAAGAGCTTTTAAGAAACACCCTTTATATCTGCTTAACAAAAGTATATCCAAAAATGTCAATTAAACTGTGCATTAATTTTTGCACTTAAAAAAATATATTCAAACAAATAATATGACAAAACAATATTATACAAATATGGACTTCAGGGTAGGTCGATATGTGGTTATAAGGACTAATTGTAATTGCTATTGACCGAAGACACAGAGAGTGATAGCGACCGAGCCTACGAGGTCGCTATCATTTTCTGTGTCTTCGGTCAATATCAATTGCCAAGAGTCCTTATAACCACATATCGACCTACCCTGAAGTCCATAATAGTTATATTAAAAACACGCTCCTTATATTATGACGTCACGTTCTACGTAACTTCAGTGCAACCGAACGGCGTGTCGTGCGATATAATTTCCACGGACGTGCTTTTGCATCGATATCACAAAAGGAGGATCCTTTCAGTCATTGAAAATTACGAAAATAATCCTCTTATATAATATTCTTTTTCATAAGAGAGGAAAACGTTTATCAACCAAAAAAAAATTAAAAGTAAGGGGCTAAACAGAGAGAGAGAGAGAGAGAGAGAGAGAGAGAGAGAGAGAGAGAGAGAGAGAGAGAGAGAGACTTACTATTATGGCTTTTAATCGAGATTGAAGACGATCAATTTCGCGTGAAGACAACTCCTTTTCTCGTTGTACATTTATCTCTTTTGCCTATAAATATAGGTATAATACCCGTGAAGTGTAGTGGTTTACTAATTTGACCAACTGGTCAGACCTGACTAGAGGGTTGTCCGGATTCGTTTCCAATTTGCAATGGAGTACTAAAATTGACATATTTCCATAAAGTAATAATACATGTATTTTGAGACGTCCCTAAAATACCTAGATGGTATATTTTATAGCAGTTTGACTTGTACATGTACTCAAGTCAATATATCTTATATACAGTATAAAACTAAACCGTTTCTTTAATGTCGCCTTTTTATTTTTTGCAACAAAACCCAGTTTGTTGCACCTTACATGATGATTTTCCACAGAATTATGCTCCAATTAAAAGAAAATGATTTTTGATAAAATAATAAAACCATCAAATATAATTCAATTTCATCATAATTGAATGGCTTATAGGAAAATAAGCACAGGCCCTGGAACTATTTTCAAAGTATTTACCTTTCTTCGTCTTTGTTCTCGTACAATAGAAGACAAAGTGTACAATATTGGGTTGAGTGCAGAATTAATTGGCAACACAAGCACAAGTATCCAGGCATAAACCTCCTTTGATACATCGAAGCCGCAAAACGTCAGCATTCCTAAAATTATGCAATGATTTTTTATTGTCTCAGAATAATTCACATACGATATGTTTGTAGATGTAGTTCTATTGTTATCTTTTTCTTCATTTTTTTTTATTATATAAAGATTCTTTTTCTTTGGGAGGTTCAATCACGGTAGCCTAATCGACAGGGCACTTGCCCCGTGATCGGAAGGTTGTGTGTATAATAACGGCCGAAACAGACTTATCATGGCTTTATTTTTTTATGAGAAGAAGAGTAAAACTGGATTCCTCATTATCTTTCAATTTTGACCTTGATTCGGCACTTAGGGCCATTGAGAAGTGAATGTTCTTTATCGTGTTAACGTCTACCGTGGCAGGGGACCTATGTGTTAAGGTCATATTCGAAAGACCTATGACTTTCACTTCTATTGCTGAGCACTTGGCAAAGGAACATTCACTACTTATGTTTATCTTTTAGGTTTTTTCGCTGTGCCCAAAACTAGGATAGAACCCGGACCTCCCTTTTAGAAGTGAACGCTCAATTATTAGACAACCGTGACCAGTGAAATATTGTCCAATAACTTACCAATGATTCCTATAGGTATCCAGCAAAGTAGATCAGTCAGAACGACGGCAACAACAGACTTGGCTAAAGCTACCTCCCTACGGCGGACATTTGAAGAGTTACACATTCTACTGGATTTCATGACTTCTGAGAGAATCACTATTTGACCAACAGCAATACCGAGAAAAATTATAAAGTTAAAACCGACAAAAATGACCATAGAATATTGCCAGCCAGTTTGTCTATAGATCGATAACGGTAGAGATATACAAATAGGAGACTGCGCATAATAATCTCCGAAGAGTGATATTTCTTCCAACAAAATAGGTAACACAGATACAGAAAGTGCAATGACCCAAGACAATAGTGATGATCCAAAAGTGAAAATTTTTTGTCTTTGAATAAAAGGATATTTTATAGACATGACTCTATCAACAGTTATTAATAGAACAAAAATTGCCGATGCCTCACTGGAAATTGTTGCTAAGACCCCAGCAATTGTACAAAGATTACTATGTCGCCAGGAATAGTCATTTATTCCGTAATTCCCTGTATATACTAAATTCATTATAGCAATTATGTATAGATATACTCCCATAAAACACTCAAGCAACACTCAAATTTCTGCAAAAAACTAAGTAGGAAATAGACCTGTTCTTAAAAGTATAGATGCTACTAATGAATGCAATCATATTCCCAAATGTTGCAAGAAGAGCTATGTACCAAATAACGACATTGAGAATAGGAACACTGATAAGCTGATCACAAGAAGATATTTTGTTTGTAGGAGCAACACATTCTACTTCATAGATGCTTTGCGGTTTTGCACAACATATAGAAAACACATCCACATGGAGTAATTTTAGATTTACCAATCCAACAAACTTCCCATCAACTGCAAAAATGTCATTGTTTTGAATAAACAGATACTGTAAACTTTCCAAATGCAAGAAAAAATCTTAATGTTGTCAGTTCTTTAACGTTAAAAAATGCCTTCTCATGAAGTATGTTGATCTTATTATGATTCAAATACAAAACTTTAAGATTATCTAATGACTTAAAGTAATGTTCCTCAATGAGAGTCAACTTATTGTTAGAGAGGTCAAGAAGAAGTAATGAACTTAAACCATGAAAAGCATTATTTTTTATTTTTTCTATTTGATTACTTTGCAGATTTAGATTTTGAAGCTCTGTCAAGCCAGGAAAGCTTACACGCTTCAAAATTGATATTTTATTAAAGGAAAGGTCTATTAATCTCGCAGAAGAACGCGATAAAGGAATTAAAGATTCCATATAAACTATTGCATGGTTTTGTATCGTTAAAAAATTTATTCTCATGTAATATGAAATGATTTTCTTACCTTCAAAAAAATAAACGGAATCAACGTAATTCATATCAAGAACACTGAAAAATGTCCTTGAGTTTATCTTCATTTCTAGTGATGCTCGAAACAATCTTGTTGTAAATATCAGTACAACTGAATGATTGGATGATGAAAAGGATATTCTGAAACTACTATTTACAGATGTGCGTAAATCCATGTCAACATACATTTCATAAAATGAAAGAAACGCTATGATATTTTTTTTCTCTTTTTCATAATTCAACACGCTTATTTCTATTCTAAAATTTGATCCTTCTAAAGCGGTCAATATTGTCAAATGTTTTACTGTACAGTTTATCAAATGTAATGTTTGTAATTGTGCCATAAGTGATTTTGTTTGAATTAGAGTAATATTTTCAATTCGGCTATTATAAATAATTACATGCTGTAAGTTGGGTTTCTTCCGTTTGTCAATACGCAAAAACTCAATGTATGAATCTACAATATCCAAGGAGTAAACAGGAAAAGAAACTTCAAAGTCAAAGAAAACCCGACCACAATGAACATTTCTCCATTCCAAAAAATGGTGAAAGTTCACTACAGAACTTGAACACATATTTTTGAAGTTGTGGGAAAAACAGGAAATTGGACAAAACTGAATACATTTCCATAATCCTGAAGAAAAATTACATTTGGGAGTAGTTTCCTCAATCCTTTGATGTTTAAATAAACCAAACTCCTCTATCGTTTGACTTGCATTGCTGATAGAACCCTTAGTTACATTCATTTGGTGAAAGTCATTATCAGAACTATTTGAGGGCAAAACGTCTGATGAATTCGAACAAGTGTCATCTTTTGATTTTTGTAATATACTGTTATTCGAAAAGTGGTGTTGATCAATGGATAAATTCAAAGTAATATTTGAGGGATCCATGCCACATACTGAACGTCTGGGGTTACCTGCAACAGGCAAATATTCAAATTATAATTTAGGAATGCATAAAGTGTTTAAGGTGACTAAAGATATACAGTAATATTGTACTAAAATATTTAAAGTGTTAATAATTGAATTCGGATTAGAATTGAACTACTTTGTATCTAGTACGTATACTTCAAAGTCTCTCAATGTATCACTAAAATGATTTTTTTCAGTTATGTATTCTCTTTTTGCAGTTACATATAGCAAAACTACAGGGATTTGTTTATATAGCATTCAAACCTTCATTTATGTTTAGGAATGGTTAAGAGAGGACTTACATTCTTGTTCGTCACTTCCGTCGTAGCAGTCTCTTTTTCCATCACAATAGACGGTCTTTGATACACATTCTCTACTTTCATAGCAGCGAAACTCTCCAGTTTGACAATAATGTGTAACTACGATTTGCAAAGAAGAAAGGGGGTCTTGTTAAAAATGAAGCTTAATTTGCAGAAATCCATAATAATTGTGATCGTTTGATAACTTCTTGTAATTATGAATTATATGTACATGTTACTTGTGTGCAATGCTTTATGCAATCATTTTTTACAACTCTACTGATTTGGTTCCATATTGATGGATCAAAAGCTGCAAATACTCATACAAATACTTTGTTAAGCTATATGCAATGAAAATCGGTTAGTGCGAACACGGATATTTTGAATATCTGGCTATATTGAAGTTATCTTGGATCCTCAGCGATATATTTTTTACGAATTCCATTTACTAATATAACGAATTACGGATATAGCGAAGTAATTTTATACATTGTAGGTTCAAGTTACTTCGTTATAACTGTGTTTTACTGTATAAAACATAACAAAATAATATAATAACCAAAAGTAATCAAACTACATTAATGAGAAAAAAATTCCAAAAGATAATCATGCTCAAAAAAGCAAAATATATAAAACAAACTGAAAGTAAAGAAATCACTGATCTTAAAACTTCAGAGATAAAAAAAAGTATGCTATGGAAGGGTAAATTTACGTATCTAATGTCAATGCAAACAAACATAACAGCTACAAATAAACATCAAGATTTAGACAGGATTCATTTGTCACCATGGATTGGTCTCGGTAATTTAAAAAAAAATTAATGACATTTTCGCTTATGAATACAGTAGCAGTTATTCCATATATGGTGACATATAAGTGAAACATTAATTTTTTAATCGATAAAGTGATGGTATGGAATTATTTTCTATTGACGTAATCCCGTGGGGATCCGGGTTAGAATAGGTCCTCAGTACCCCCTTGCTTGTCGTAAAAGGCGACTAAATGGGACGGTCCTTTGCATGAGACCATATAAACCGAGGCCCCGTGTCACAACGGGTGTGGCACGATAAAGATCCCTCCCTGCTCAATGGCCCTGAATGCCGAGCATAGGCCTAAATTTGCAGCCCTTCACCGGCAATGGTGACGTCTCCATATCAGTGAAATATTCTGGAGAAGGACGTTAAACAGTATACAATCAATCAATCTATTGACGTAGCACACAAGTAATTTGGTTAACTTATTAAAATTCCCTGTATTATATAAACTTGAGATTCAATGTAAAGTGATTTATAAATTCAAAATAACCCTTGAGTTCCTTAATATTAATGTTGTATAAAGAGTTTTAATAGATAAATGATAAATATTTTGTAATAATTAATTTAAGAATAATAGAAAATGATAAATTAAAGCAGCTAAAAAGCAAAAAAAAAAAAAGTTCAGAGAATGATTTCCATGACAAAACTTTGTATTGTTTTAATCAGGAAGCAATTTGCATCCCGATGATATTTAGCGCTTTTATGTTTTATATTATACTAGAACAAAGGACAGCCACTTAGTACAGAAGAGAAACAAGGGAGATTGGCATGACTGCACCTTACAAAGATTTAAAACTATTCAAATTGTGTTTTCAAATAAAATAATTAATATATGATAAATGTAGTTAATAATATTAATTTGAATAATGTTTTTAAATCTTTTTACAACATTTTACTTTTTATTAATAACAAAAAATTAAGTTATATTTGAATTTGGAAATTTAAAAGATTTTTATTTTTGAAATATCAACTGATACTGTAAAGGGGATTAATTTCACGGGTTGTAATTTTCACGTTTTTCTCTCATCTTGCACGATCGCGGTTTCTTGAATTCGCGGATTTGGTATGTAATAAAAGTTGCTTCCCTTGTCTCCATTTAACTCATACCGTAGCTACATGTAAACGACATAAATCAGCGTTATGTTTTTATTTCACGAACAACAGGGTACGTTATTATAAAATTGATAGATTTTATAAATTTTAAATTAACACAAGTGTAGTTATTTATAGTCCCTAAACGTAAAATGACTTTCCTATATGCTATTACGATGAGTGCATGTGCACCCGAGATCTTCAATACAACGCGGCGAAAAACCACTGGACGGAAATAAAAGTTTTTATGTAGTTCTACGAAATAATATCCTTCCACACTTCCTTCGTCAGTAAGTTCGATATTTATTTGAAAGATTTTTAAAAAAAAATGGTCGATAAAAACTACATGAACTAATATGCATGATAATGCAGGTAACAAATACACGTGGTAACATTAGGTATGCACGGGTAATCAAAACCCATGGCCCACGTGTTTTGATTGATGAAACATAAAGCGTTGGCTATTAAAACAGCTTTTGAACAAACACAAATTATTATCTGCCGATTTGAATTAAAGTAAAGCGTGGTAATTAAAATTAATTGAATGACAGTACTACTCGCAATTACTGAAATGATCATTGACTGCATGTACACCAATATAAATCTATCGTACTAAGTCCATTCTCAAAGGACAAGATAGGGTAAGAGCCGAATCTGGCCCCCTATCTGATATAATAATCAGAACACTGGTAAAATTGTGATAGTTTGTAGTTAAAAAGTTAAAATGATGCTTACTTTGAGACAAGCACTAATTTTGATTCAAAGCTTACATGGAAGCCACTAAAGGGTGCAGAAATAGGACATTTTTCTGAAATTCCTCAATTTTGGTTGAATTTCATCATATTTGGGATACATTTCTCTTCGGAAAACATAGAGCACACGCTTGCCTATCTTAGATTTTTACACATATACTGCATC